TCTCACACACATGCACTCTTACCCAACAAATGAGAAAAACTGAGACCAAAGAGGTGAGTCTTGCTCAAGATTACAAAACAGAATGGCAGAGCCAAAACTAGACACTACAATTGTAAGCTCACAAAAAGGTCTAAGACGCTCTTGGAACTAAGTTGTAGAAAACATTTTTATAAGATCTGAGCAGTCTTGAAGTTGTCTGAAAGCTCATTACAAGTATTTTGTTTTTTCTTTTTAAAGGGTCTTAAAAGTTTGTCAGGTGGAAAAAAAAGTCAGGTGGGTTGAAGGGCTAAATGTTAGAGTGGGAGCAATATAAGCCTAGAAAGCATACAGAACAACTGGGAATAGTATTTGGTAATCATCCTCACTAGGGAGAAGATTTAAATCTCTGAGGTATAGTTGGTAGATACCTGATTCAAGGTATCTGCAGAAAAGGAAGTTGTTGTCTAGCTTACAAGTAGCTTACTTGTGAACTGGAGAGACATAAAATCATGATTTTAAATAACTAATCTTTGAAAACAAGTGAATAAAAATTTAAATCTCAAGTGCACAAATTATTTAAATCTTAAATTATTTGCCTGTCCAAGAAGAGACAGGCTTCAAAACTTGACCATGAGAGGCCTTCATTATTGATAGACATTTCAAAGAGTAGGGATTCATATTTATATTAAACATCATAACAAATAAAATTCCCTTGTATGCCAATGAACTATACTATCTTTTTAATAAGCACTGTTATTTAAATAAAATATTAAATCTACCTAGAAACAACGTAACTAATTAATAGAACAGTGCAGCCTCATTTACCTTTGTCACTCTGAAAACAGTAAAACCTAGTAAAGTTTGATGTATTTTTTTAATAAATCATTTTCAAACTATGGGCATTTGTACTAAAAATTATTTTAATTTTTGGCTACCATGTGTTAGTGACTATTTTCAAAAGTGTCTGGTGAATTCAATTCCTTTTTTATTGGAAGAGTTGTCTATTTTTAAGAAGACATTTCTGGCATTAAATTACACAGACTAAAAGCTAATTTAAAAATCCATATTAAACATTTCAAAGTATACATCCATTAGTAATTATAATACCAGATCAGGAAATCAAAGAAAATTCCAGTGTAATCTCTAAAGTTTAACATTACAGATAAATGAGACTATTGTTAAAGAATAATTTGCTTTTCGAAGAGCTAAAAGTATAAAAAAAGAAGCCTGAAGGGATAATGCAGAAACAGAAGCCATGACTTGAGAACTTTACCACACAGACTTAAATTAACTTAAATAGTACATTACGGTGTTTCTCTGACCCTTGTCAGTATCTTCAAAGTAGTTATGTAGCTACTCACTTGAAAAACATGTTTTTAAGTAGTACTCTTCTCAATAACCTAAAATCAAAACTATCATTTAAAAATTTATATAGAGACGAGGAAAAAAATTTTTGCATGACAAAAACAAAAATATTAAGAAGTCAATGAATAAAAGCATGGACTTGAGTCTGAAAGTACTGAGTTCCTCTGCTACCAGATACTCATTTAACCCCTGCATCAGTTTTCTCATCAGAAAAGGGGATAATCATACTCACCTTACAGGATTGTAGTGAGGATCAAATTAGATAGTGCTCGTGAAGTTCTAACATGGTGGCAATCATATAGTTAGAACCTCCATCAAAAATCTTTTTATACAATTTAAAAGGTTAATTTTGAGAAAAATGTTTAATGCCCTCTTCACAAAAAAAAAATCTCTTCTATCCCACTTTCACTTGTAGGAGAAAAAGAAAAGCACAAACAAAAAAATATTTTTCTCATAAGGGCATAATTTTCCTTATATAATTTTGGGATTTGGGGGGATCATAAGTATCAAATAAAAACCTCACCCTACAGTTTTTAATAGTATGTCAATATATGTACGTGTTCAAACCTGAAAAAAAGGAAAACAGAAAATCCCTTAAGTTTTTTTAAGTTTGGAGTAATCAGTATGAATAAGTACACTATTATCCATTAAATAAAGTGATAATAAGGCCAGTCACAAAATTTTATATTATTTTAAAGCACAGAAATAAAAAGGAAAGTGATTACCTTCGTACAATAAAGCATCCAAAATTCAAAGAGCCTCTCTCTGGATGTCATTCTGGCTTTCACTCTGCCACTTTAATTTTTCCTCAAAAAAATTATGTTCAAGACCACAGCATGTTCATTTTATTTTCCAAGTTTCTCAGCCGTTACAGTATAGCTCAAAGCAGTAGGGAAAACAAAAAGAAGTGAAAACAAATGGACTGTCTTCTGGCCAATAAAAGGCAGTTTCAGCAGTACTCCAACATATCTTCAGCAATGGTAGTTGGGCAATTAAACAAATCTATGAAGGAAAAAGACCCAAAGGTTTGTTAGAAAAAGAGGTCATATTTAAAAATCTAAACTTATCAGAAACTAAAGATTTATCTGCTTCACTTCTCACTAACAACCGGCCAAACTTTTACACTGATTGATTAGATTTCAGAGAAACTTGTCCTTCAGGAAATCATCACAGCTAACAAAATGTCACATCATAGAATCCTCTAAGGCACATAAAAATGAATGCAAACTCATAACCAAAAATGCATCCAATGATAATAAAAAGACTCCCTTCCTACTTCATATTTTCTACAGACATAAAGGCACATATTTCAAAGTCATATTTCAAACACATGAAATCTTTTAGAATTTTCTAGTCTGCTTTTATTTTTTTATTTTTTTCAGATTCCTCAGTTAGGATTCAAACTAGTCTGCCTCTTAAAAGTTGTTGGGAATGTTTGCTGTGTTGCAGGGCAGGGCATTGGGGGAGGGGTGAGGAATTCCTGGCTTGTTTGTTTTAACAATCCTCGGAGAGTGAAAGTCAACCTGCCCACCTGGCCTTTTTCTACCTCTCCATCCAGGAAGAAACTAGCACGCACACACCGGCAAAGAAAACTGCCCGGGGAAAGCCTCCAACTGTTTTCGGGGGTCTTTAAATTTCCTCCTCGCATCCCAGACGACCGAAACAGAGGCAAACTTAAGGTGTGTGCCAAGCTGCCAAGAGAAGCTTTAGAACTGGGGCAACGCAAGCTTGGCGTCTCCCGATCCCGCGCTCCATGCCAGGCCAGCTGTATCGGGAGACGCCCGCGACAGCCTCGCCCCCTCACAGTCGCCCCTCACTCTACAGCCCCTCCACCACCAAGTACCCGGGAGCGCCCATTTCTCGCCACCCGGCTCCCTCTCACCAACGACCCGCTTCACCTCACCACGCTCACTTCGGGGGCCGCGCCGCCGCCTCACTTGCTCCCTCGCCCCCTTCCCAAGGCGAAGCCCCGTGTCACCCCGCAGCCAGGCAGGCGGGCGGGACAGGGAGGCGGGGCGCGACGGTCGGGAGGAGCCAGGGGAGGGGCTGCCCCCTCGGCTAATCATTCCTGCCGCTAAGGATTTACCCGGCCCTGGGGCGGCCGCGGTCAATGGTAGCGTAGGTTGGAGAGGGGCGGGGTGACCTGAAGCCCCGCCCCAACATACCTGCGCAGCCGCAGTCGACAGGGCTCTTGCAGCCCTTTCCGCGACTGGCGCCAGCCCAGGCACTGAGGTCGGCCTTTCCTCAGCTGGACTAGGAGGAGGGCAGGCGTGCTGACGTCAACGCCCCGCCCCTGCTGGGAACCGGCCACCGAGCTTTCGGCTGGTGGCGTCATTTCCTCTAGTCCTCTGTGGGCGGGAAACCCGACTGTGATAGCTAAGGGGGATCTCGTTTTGATTTCTTTGTAAAAATGGAATTGGCCCTGGGAATTTATAGTAATGTAAAACGAAATGCGTGTACGTGCGCGCGCACACACACACACATTCCCCAAGGAAAAAACCCTTTTCCCTAATCGTGTTTGTGGCTTGTACTTTCGCCGTCGCCAAATGTCCGTCCAAAAGACTTATTTTACCATCACTAAAGGCTTCAAAAGGGTTTTGCTAGGTCAGGAAAACAAAAGACTTTTCCTAGCTATCAACAACTTTCACAGGGTTTCTGTTTTGTTAAAGGGAGGAAAAACCGGGTAGGACTAATCACCTTTGTTAAACATTTTTAAAACTTCTCAGTATGAAAAATTTCAAATATACACAAAAGTAAACTAATATAATGAAGACCCATATACTATCGCCCATTTCAATAATGATCAGCTAGTGTCCCATCTTGTTTCATCTGTAACAATAGTCCGAAAACTTTTCCTGTAAAGACCCAGGGAGTAAACGTTTTAGGTTTTGCAGCCCATCCCGCTTACAACTTGATTAACAAAAATAAAAATGGGAACAATATTTTGTGATATGTGAAAATTAGATGGAATTCAAGTTTCCGTGTTATGAAGTTTTACTGGAACACAGCTATGCCCATTCCTTTACTATTGTCAATAGTTGCTTTCATTTCAGCGTGGCAGAGTTGAGAGTAGTTGCTTGCAAACTATGCTTTCAATTTTTTATACTGAAATTACATTTTACATTCACCTTTTCTCCTTGGTTGTCCAGCAGGCATGTGAAACTTAACATGTCGAACTTTCAGAAGTGGGAGGACCTTCTGTGGGATCTCCCGTTTTAGTAATTAGCAATTCCATTTTGCACTTGCTCAGTTTAAGAACCTAGAAAGTGTACTTGCCATCTTTCTCACGTACTTTACATCCAATCCCTTGTACCACACACAGGCAACAATCACAATACCTCATTGCATAGGTTTAAGTAAGATGTCCCTCCTGGACAATCCCTAGTTTCCTAGTTCCCCCAGTTCTCCTCAGTTTTCCTTCTATCCCTCCCCAAAGTCCTATCTTTAAACCGTTCCCCTCCAGTGTCCCCATTATCCACACAGAATAAGAGAATATGGGCCCCCGGCACCTTCTTGAGTCTGGTAAATTCTGCTGCATTTAGGTAGCATCCAGGTGTCAGCTTGATGACAATATTCTTCCTCTGCTACGGCTTCCGATGGCTCCCAGGAATGGGGATAAGCTTTGATTTCATGAGTGGGCCCTTCAACAACACTTAGGTGTCTCTCCAACAATGAAGCTACAGCTACTTTTTCTCCTAATGTACCTCAGGTAAACACATTTACCACGCTGAGAACACATTTTAAAAAATAAGATTGTGTGACCCAGCAGCTTCTAAAATAGCCTGGCCTTTTATGTTACAAGCATATTTCTGGCCTGATTTTAATGACAAAAGGCCTCCACGTTAACTTACATGGTCCTGCACTCAAATAGCTTCTCATCTGATGTCAGGGTTAAGAGTTTCAGTTCACCTCAACAGATATAACCTTAAAACACCAGTAAATTAATTAATGAAAAATACATCTGCTGAGGCAATTGGACTATTCATCTCTCTTGGTCAGGGCATTATCTACCCATAGAAAGAATTGCATAAGGAAGTAAATTATATTCTCAGGATTGCACTTTCATCATGGGTCATAAAAAGTAAAATTAATTACATTAACTTGATGGGTAGTGTCATCTTGTATAATAGCCTGCATGCAACCATTTCCACTATAGGCAACCTGCCAATTGAAACAGATACTCAATTCTGCTAGATTGAGCACAGTTTCCCTCAGACAGAGCTGGAGACACATGGCCAAGGTTTTGTTCTTCAAGCTGCCCTTTCCTAAATCCTATGTGAGCTATCTCCACGCCTTTTTAGTTAGTCTGGCTAGAGGCTTACTGATTTTATTGATCTTTTCAAAAAACCAGCTTTGCTTTTGATTTTCTTCATTGATTTCCTATTTTTATTTCATTAAGTTCTGCTCTAATTTTTGTTATTTCTTTTCTTCTTCTTACTTTGGATTTAATTTGCTCTTTGTTTTTTAGTTTTCTAAGACGGAAGCTTGGATTATTGACCTTAGATCTTCCTTTTGTTCTGATATATATATTCAATGCTATAAAATTCCCTCTAAGTACTACAAATTTTGATAAGTTATATTTTCACTTAGTTCAAAATTTTTAATTTCTCTTGAGATTTCTTCTTTGACCCATGTGTTATTTAGAAGTCTGTTGTTTGATCTTCCAAGTATTTGGGGATTTCCCATCTATCTTTCCATTACAGATTTTTTAGTTTAATTGTATTGAAGTCTGAGAGCAGACATTATATAATATGTATTCTTCTAAATTTATTAAGGTAGGTTGTATGGCCCAGAATGTGGGCTACCTTGGTAAATGTTCCATGTGAGCTTGATAAGAATGTGTATTCTACTGTTGTTGGATAAGTAGTCAATAGATGTCAATTATATCCAGCTAATTTTTTAATTTTTTTGTAAAGACGGGGGTCTCACTATGTTGCTGAGGCTGGCCTCTAACTCCTGATCTCAAGTGATCCTCCTGCCTCAGCCTCCCAAAATGCTGGGATTACAGGTGTGAGCCATGGCACCTAGCCTAGTTTGTTCAGCTTTTTGTTGCTAGGATGGACTTCAGAATCTTCCAAGTTCCTAGACACCAGAAGTGTTATCCATACATTTCCAGTGGGTACCATACAGTTGTCTAAGCTACAGTGTCAGATATGCTCATGAAAACACTCTCATTATGATTGTATTGATTGGAATGTGTATGTTATCAAAACTACTCAGCCACCAATTTATAGATTATTTTGTTAAAGTAGATTATGTATTCTGTAGTATCACAGAACTTAAGAATTGGATGTTACCATAGAGATCTTGTAATTCAGTGCCTCTGTCTCAAATATTTTTTTTTTTTTTTTTTGAGACAGAGTCTCACTCTTTTGCCTGGGCTAGAGTGAGTGCCGTGGTGTCAGCCTAGCTCACAGCAACCTCACACTCCTGAGCTCAAGCGATCCTTCTGCCTCAGCCTCCCGAGTAGCTGGGACTACAGGCATGCGCCACCATGCCCGGTTAATTTTTTCTATATATTTTTAGTTGTCTGATTAATTTCTTTCTATTTTTAGTAGAGACGGGGTCTCGCTCTTGCTCAGGCTGGTCTCGAACTCCAGAGCTCAAACAATCCGCCCGCCTCGGCCTCCCAGAGTGCTAGGATTACAGGCGTGAGCCACCGCGCCTGGCCTGTCTTAAATATTTAAAAATCAAGTCCTTAATATGAATTTAAGCAAGCCTCTAGACCAGTGCTCTCTAAGAGAACTTTTTGCAATAATGGAAATGTGCCACATCTGTGCTGTTCAAAACAGTAGGCACTAGCCATATGTAGATATTGAACAACTGAAATGTAGCTTGTACAAGAAATGAATTTTTAGTTTTAATTTTAATTTTAATAGTTACATGTGGTTAGTGGCTACTGTATTGGAAAGTGGAGCTCCAGAGCTAATTTGAATTGTAGGAAACAGAGGGGATAAAGGAGTAAGTTAAATGACAATTTATTAAAAATAAATTGAGATCCAGAGAGGTTGGCTTGTCCTATAGTACACTACTTGTGGTTAACAGAAATTGCACTAGAAACCTAAACTTCTTATTCCTAGGCTTTTTTGACTACATTGGGCTGGCTTTTCAGAGTCCATAAGATGATGAGGTTAGAGCATGATTTCTCAAATTCAGCACTACTGACATTTTGAACTGGATGTATCTTTGTTATTGTGAGCTGTCCTGTGCATTGTAGAATGTTTAGCAACATTCCTACCCTCTACCCCAGTAAATGCCAGGAACATCTTCTAGTTGTGACAACCAAAAATGTCTCCAGATATGGCCAAATGTCCCGATGAGGGAGGGTCGAAAATTGTCCCCAGTTGAGAAACTCTGGTTCAGAATCTCTGGTTTCCAGAATCTCATAATCCTATAAGATGTCCTTCAGAACCCTCATGAGAGGCAAGGTAGGTCCAACTTACTTGATAATGGTGTAATGAGAACTTCAAGAATGTGATCCAGCTCTAAAAGTACAAATTAATACAGGGCTCCCTTTTGGTGGCTACCAGTAGAATGGGGTCTAAAACTCAAGCCTGCATAATAATAATAATGATCATTTGTTGAGCAGCTACTATGTATATAGTACTATGCTTTTACATCTTTTATCTCTAATTCTCAAAGTAACACTGCAAGGCAAATGTAATTCTCCTCATTTTACAGATTAGAAAACGATGATTCAGAAAATTTAAGTAACTGGCACAAGGTCACACAATTAACTAGCAAAAGAGAAAAGCAAAATTTATAACAGGTAGCCATATTTGACTTTCACACCTATGTATTTTTTACTTGAATGCCTACTCTAACAACCTCTTTAGGACTCAGGGCTGAAGAGGCATATGTGAAGCATAAGATACAGAAAGGAAAAGAAATAGAACAAAGAAGGAAATTCCTAAAAGAGGAAAAGTTTCACTGAATGGGGAGAATTACAAAGAGATACCACCGTGTAATCACTATAGTTAGGGAAGGTATCCAATGGAGAGTGTACCTGAGGTAGGCCTTGAATTAGAATTCCAGTGTCCGGAAAGAAAAAAGAGAAGAATTTTGAAAAGAGAATGCCTTAGGTAAAGTTGGCTCTTGAGGAAATTTGTCTCTGTGTTTTGAGGAGACCATGACTTATTTGACCAGTCTATCTAGGGTAGAAGCAGCAAAGAGATAAGATTGGGGGGATGTAAGTTGCAGCCAGCTCACAATGGGTCCCTGAAGACCAGCTCAATGATTTAAATTTCATTATGTGTAAAAATTAAAGTTTTTATGCAAGGATGTAACAAGATTAAAACTATATTTGTTGTCTTAGACCTCGTGATATCTTGCCCAAGACAACATGTAA